GCAGATATGGGGAGTCCTGCAGGTATCGACACACGCCAAGGATGACATTTTGGGGCGAAACGTCTTTGAGAAAGGGGCACTGTAACGAATCTGAAGCCGTCCCTGACAGATATGCCGGCCAGCGAACGAACACATGAGATCACCGCAAAAGGAATGCCTTTTGCCTTCAACATAACGCGAGTAGTTTCTCACCACCTACGGCACTCTTACGGTATTGACGAGACACCGGTGTTGCCCTACGCTCCGGGGATATTGAATCCGTTGTGGGGAACGAGACGTGCCGAATTTATTGAAACTATTCGTTCTCCACCCTCAGGCTCATACAAGCTAATAAGCCAGATGTAGTCCACTAAATTTGTTGTGGAGTTTTTAGCTCCTGGTGAGATGAATATCGTCCGAAAAGAGGAGGAAAAATGGATAAAATATCAAGATTTTCTCTTCGAACTCCGCAGACTCTCTCCAGACCACTCTGTCAAGATGGTTGTTCTGATTATTGGAGTCCTTGGTGGAATGATGCCCTCTTGAATCTCGAAATCATACCGGCTTGCCGCACTAAGGCAGAAATCTTAGCCGGACATTTGCAGAAGGCTGTCATCCTTGGCTCACTGCGCTTATTCAGGGCACATGATTCTCGGACCCAATGATAACTTACCCCACGGTGTGGGGAGTGGTCGTTGGTTGATAATGCTGGCGCGCCTTCTCGAATGTATCGGGGCTTCGGGGGATAGGGCATGACCAGCGCAAACTTCGGTGATAATTATAATAATTTATACATTCTGACACTATTGAATCCTTGATTCAGATCATTTTTGTTTACTCAAGCGGGTATTGTAATTGAAAGAATTGTCATAGATGTATTTCAAGATGTTTTTCAACTAGACAAACAGTTTCAAAAATGAACAGAGCTACAACTGTTGATATGCGTATAATTTATTAAGTTTCAGCCAATTCCATCACGCATTTCATGATGGTTAAAGTCACAAAGCATGAAGAGTTATTATAAAAACATGCGCTTAGCTGGAAAGTCGAAAAACAAACATAGAAACTTACATTTCAGTTACCCACTTGGTCAATACACATCAATATTCCAGGCTGAAACTGAAAAAATGGAAGAACTGCCATAGATTATCTATACTGGCCGCCTGGATACTCAGGAATCACAGGTAGTGAGTGTGCTATATCTGAATTATTAGCCTCATATATTGGCAAAATCGGAAAATCATGTCAGTCACACCATTATTCATAACTCGAGAACAGTTGGACCGATTTTCATGATTTTTTATTTGTTAAATTTGTCTCCGCTTGGTATCGCAGAATCACTATTGAAACATTTGAAAACATGAAAAAAAGTAAACAAATTAACGTGATGGTTTTCATTTCAAGATAGTTGTTATGGTGTGCGCTTAAACAATTGTGGTTAAGGGCATTTTCCTGGTGTGGGAAAGGTGTTTTCTTTAGATGCATCTTACGCCACAGTTTCCAGTTTTACATATCAAAATATTATTCTGTTGTCAATAAAAACAAGATCGTTCACCCATAGATAATCATATTTTCTATTCCCTCAAAGTAACTTTTGGTTCACCCATTTTAAGTATAATTGATTACCATATGGCTTATTTCTTCACGGATGGTACCACATGCTGAAGAGTCATTCCGAGTGAACATCCATTCTTGCATTCTGCAATTATCTCGTTGTAGTTGATAGCTGTTTCATGCGAGGGTAGACTTGGGGGTTCGGGCTTGTGATGATTCAACGTTTCAATTTCAGACTTCAGTGCTTCAATTGATTGAACAATAGATAGAAATTAAAGTAATCCGCTACAGCAGGCCTTACACATTTAGGTACAAGTATATATGAGAGGAAACGAATACAAATATATTGGCTGAAGATACATAATAAAAGATTTGATAGTTCGTACTAGAACCTCTGGCGTGAAATGAATCAATTGAAAACACTTTCCCAACACCAGAACAAAAATTACGATCTCTCGATGCGCGTTTCGCTAACCAAGTTAGCGTCCTCAGGAGATCATTATGACTCATAATTTGATTTGTCCTAATCTAGATTGCAATTAGACTTGTCTCGAAAATCTTAATGGGTGGTGGTATTTTTTAAACTATACCTAATGTTAAAGAATACTATAAATATGATGAAGATACATTTTTCTGTCTCAGTGAATTCAATTGTTTTTTTTATTCAAAAATCGGTTCCAGTGATCTATATCATCGTTCTAAATTCCAAATTCACCATCCCAATAATAATTGAGGCTATTTCCAGAAAAAGTGAAAAAGGTTCGAAATCCCAATTTTGCTAACTTGATCAGTGGAATTTGGAACCTCTAGCGTGGAATAAATCTATTGATATCACTTTTTCCTTACCAGAACAAAATTGCTATCTCTCGACGCGCGTTTCGCTAACCAAGTTATAGCATCAAAACTGTCCTCTTTCTCATAAGTCTCATGTCTCACTTTCCGATCAATTTGAAGTATGTTTTGGGGAAACTCTATATCATAGGTTTACGTGTCTCTTGTGCAATAAAATTATTGGATAACCTAACATACATTCATGTATCTTAGGTTTTCCAGTATATACTGGAATCTGCACCTAACGTAAACAAAAAAGACACATTGTGTCCTGATATTGTGATGTAACAAAACGACAAAAATATGATGTATATAATTCTTCACACTATACACTGTGTCCGTAAAGTATGGAACAAATTCATTTTTAGCTAAACAGGTCATTTTAAGAAATAATCCTGAAACACGTCGATTTTTGATGTTTAGCACACACACAACTACAGTATTTTTGTCCACCCTGTACCAATTGGAATCAACATGTGATACATTTTTGGAATCAGCTCAGCTAGAGTAATCCGAAAATTGAGACAAAATGGAGGTGTTCCATTTAAAAAAAAATGACGGTGACGTCATTACTCGAACGTAATTCACCCTGTATATTAGATTATTATTTTAAAATACGGTAAATTAACATCAACAATCGACGTGTTTCAGGATTATTTCTTAAAATGACCTGTTTAGCTAAAAATGAATTTGTTCCATACTTTACGGACCCAGTGTATAAGTATGATGATGTTCCTTGCTCATTATTGATGAATAAAAAATTGTGACAATTATGAATGGACTTAATCATTACTTACAAAACTATGAACATATCTATAACAATAATTAAAAAAATTCACAAACATTTTGTTTTACGTGTCTGTGACAATGAAAAGGCGTTTGAAAACTTGATGAAACATTTTTTAATTGAACATACTTTTCACGTAATAGTAAGTGCAGACAAGCTTAGTAGTACAAGCCCTAAAGAAAGTCCTAGTTTCAATATAGTTATAATTTAGGTAGTTTTTTTACAGTTTGCGAGAATTCTTATAAGTATTATAATCTATCGAGAAAGGAAAGCAAATAAATGAACTTATTGAATGGAAAATAAATCACTTGATGAGAAAAAACGCGTATGAGTGCAATATAAGTTTTGTTTTAAATGACGCTCCAAATAACAACTAATATATTGAACTGAAAGTGTTGTTCAAAATCATGAAATTGCTCGAAAAACGACTTTTTCTAAGGACAATGCCATTTTATATTCTTTTCTGAAAAAAAAAACAATTCAGACAGATAACGACCGTTAACAATGAGTGTTATTATTATTACTATTATTCTACTCATTCTCATCATAAATGACAATGATTGATAGAACTATTTTTAAAGAATCTTGTACTACCCGGTATATGTTATACTACGTATAACAGTATACCAGGCTTGGCTGGTGCCCATTAAAGTAGGCTGTCATTAGTTGTAGTAACTATTTTTTTGCGCATTGTCATCATCAGCGGAGAAAATAATATATGCTCTGGCAAGTTCGGAGTTCGGACGTTCGTATAATCGCAGCAGTCGGTAGGTATGGCGTGTTATGGAGCCGTTTCATTATGCGGCAATACACGCATTCTGGAATCCATTGGCGTTTTCGTAAAAATTACCGGAAACCCAATATTTTTTTGTGAATAATTCACTATCTCTGCCGGTATCACTGTTTATCGCTTTGGGGTTGTAGCCTGTTCAATACAATAAGCTTGTTGGAAGGAAAATTTTCTGCATTGCCTTTAAAATCGCACTCGCACTGTTATCTTGGAGGTGTTGGGAATGGAAAAATCCATTTTGTAATTAAACAAATTGTTCTCATCAGACCTAACGTCTGGTGACTTAGCGAATCGGCAAAAATCTTGCAGATCCAACCTGACAAAAATGAAACTTGACTTTATCATAACATTTCTGAGAAAAAAAAACATTATGTCACCTTCTGGGTATATGGGAAATCAACATATTTGATAGAATTGTCTAAAAATTCTTACTGGTCGGGTCTACCCTCTGGATGTACAAAAATTCCACTTCTTTGTTGAAATGGGTTGTTAATACTTTTTGCATGTTGTCAAAATTTGTTTTGTTAGGAGTTTCACAAAACTGTTCATAGGAATTGAATAATACTTGCATAGAAGCAATATATCACTTGTGAGTGATATTATTATGAATACTCGTACAGGGCAGCTAAACTGGAATATCTTATTGTTGTAGTCTCAAAAGAGGTCGATTCGGAGATTACGGAGAGGATGTGCATCTCGTAGACAATAGCATCCAGCACCATCTGGATGCCAGACGGTGCAGAATGATTCCTTGTTCCACCACAAGGTGAAACAACACCACTCACAAGGGTTAACCTCAGTGAAGAACTCTTTCCGCGGCAAGTATCAGCCCATACTCCGACATATCTGGATCAAAAGTGTCAAGAAAAAGCAAAGTTACTGAGATACTAATATAGGGTTTTGGCAACCCTATAGGGTTTTGGCAACATCATTGAAAACTTCAGTCTATCAAAGCACCCGACCTTTTCTTTTCTCAGGCCGAGTGGGCTGAAGTCATTAAATGAGGGGTTCATCATGGCCTTGTAACGGTTTCAGAAGAATCAGTAGAGTTGCCCTGTAGGTTCGTTATTTTATCAGCATATTGCTGGGATGGTGGGTTGTCTAGTAAGCAGGAGTAAATAAAACCGAGGAGATTTTCACGGTCAGGATTTAAAAATGATTCAGATTACTATCTATCGTAAAGCCAACACAAAAGCAAGGTTCTAGCAAGGAACTGTCCGAAACCTAAAAACATCTAAGGTCAGTCAAATTAATCAATTCAATATTTTCATTTCCTGTTCTTGAAATATCGGTAGAGAATTCCATAACACATGTTTTCAGGTTTTTTGGACAAGAATAATATCACGTCGAGCACTGTCAGACCTTTAATTCATTTTTTTTGGTGGTAAAAAAGCTTTCAAGGCATATTCATCTGGTAATGGGAGAAATTCTTCGAAAAAGCTATAGTTGCATCATACATATCATTCTTCGAGATATGAGGAGACACTCTAGAAAGTACCAACGGAGAGCCGTAGCAAGTATATTTTTTCAAGCTTGGAGCTTCGTTGTTGACTTTTTGGCTATTTCTCCACCCCTTTCCTGTTGAAATCGTTATTATTCTTTTTTGTTTTCTTATTTTTTTTCTATCTATTTCGACTGTAAAGAAAAACATATTTTCCTTACCCACGTCCAGCCCCGACAATAATCGACTAGCCTGGGCCGAACTACTTTTTGGTAATTACATAAATACCAAGGTAGGTTATAGCCTTCCAGGAAGATATATTCAACAACTTAGTTTAGTGTAGTCGCGTGATGTGTATGGGCGTCTCCAAGCAAGCGAGGCTTCTGAGAGCCTCATGGATGTTTGGCATATGCGATCTCAGCCTATATCCATCGACATAACTCAGTCCAATGAGCGCTTTACAAACCTATTTGGTACTTCTACGGTATTGACGAGATACCGTGTTTTTGTATGTATCGGTAGGTATGAATCCGTTGTGGGCTAACAAAGTAAGGTCAGTCGTACATTGAGCACAGAATTTTCTGTAAGCGGGAATGTTGAAAAAAGACAAATACATGACACACCGTCTCCCCTTCCTACACTGGAGCCAGTGCTCGTTCCGGAGAGGGTAGTCGGGTCTGACAACAATCAAACAGGTTGGTTTTTTTTTTCCAGTTGCATGGAAGCTTTGGTAGAGGTGGTGCGTTTTAACATATTCTATTGAACTTGGTTTATGTGTTTAATTGTGCCATAATGGTAGACAAAAGAATGCTAATTAAATTAGTGCGTGAGCGAGTAGTATCATGGGACCAGAGTACTACAACCGCGATTTGAAGGGTAAACTGTGAGAAGAAGTAGGGAAAGTGCTGTAAATTGAAGGTTAGTAGCAATACACATTTTTTGTTCATTTTAGAATAGGATAACTACTACCAAGCGTAATAGAATTCATGGAGTATTATAGTATTATTATTAACGTTTGGCCTATCGGATTGAAAATGGTATAAATTATTTCAGGAGACAAAATAATACACCATAATAAATTGTTTTTACTTTAGGTACATAAATTACGCAGGCACACAATTGAGTGACCTTTGACAAAAACCTGACGTGATAGGGCAATACTGACTTCAAACAGATTCGGATTCAACGACTCCGAAAACCTATAAAAATATGGTCTAGTCTGTGAGATCAAAAAAACCTTTTTGTGTGTACCTGTGTTATATTTGTTTGAAAAAATTATATAAGACAAAACATCTGAAAATGACTGCCATATTGAAAATAGGTTGAAGTAAGTTCAGTTGATAAGAAAATTTCATATTACTTTGACATTATTTATTTATTTTTTACGATTAAAACATAGGCAGCGAAATGTTTAAACATAAGAATGAATTAGTTAGGCATACTTATTTATCTCTGAAATATGTTTAAGAGCACTTATGCTCATCGGTCATTAAAGTTGTGTTTGTATAAACTTCTACAAAGAGGATCAGTTACGGTAGAGGATCTGTTAAATCGTCGTCAATAACCCACGTCTGATCTCTGATGTCGCTGTTCTTATCTGGAGTCTAGGGCTTTTTCAAAAACTTATTGATTGAGAGTAGTATTCTCCTAGTCAATAACTATGTTATGCTGAAGACACAAACATTTAATGATTTTCTCAGCTTTATCTACATCTGTTTCGATGGCTTTGTAGAGTTATCTCCATTTCGTAGGTGAAACTCCAAATGCGCATACTATGTCCTTCTGCACCTTGACAATCGATAGTTAAAAATGCGCTGTGATTCTGTCGATTTTCGTTGAACGAATAGTTTTATAAAGGACGTCTTTAATGGGTACGCATCGTTTTCAAAAAAAATGTTGCGATTAATGAGAAATAAAACTTTCTATGTTTTTTACCACTTTTGTTCGTAACTAATGCTGTTACGCAGTTTCGTCCTATAAGGGCATTTTCAAATAATTACAGTGAACTAATTGTTTATTGAAATGGTTTGAAAATGTCCTTATAGAACAAAACAATAAACTAATTATTTATTGTAATTGTTTGAAATGTCCTTAGAGGACGAAACTGCAGTAAAAACATTAGTTTTTTTTATACTTTCTGAATGTATCAGGGTGTCGACGCGTAAGTAGGCAGGTTGTGTAAAATTCACTTTGACGGTGATCTTCATGGAATTCATGAACCTATTTTCTTTTACTCGAGTTCAATAATAAATTTCTATTCAATATCATGAAATCAATTAGTTCCTCATCCATTTTTCAACTGCAATAGACAACTTTCCTAGTCGCGAGTTGACACAATACTGGTTTTTCCGCTTCTAGGTGCATTGTAGGAGCGCCGAGTCTGGACGGGTCTTGTTTGGCTGGGTCGGGTGGCCAGATCTACTCCGTTTCCAATGTAGGACCGGCCTAAGATGATATTCGTCGTGAAATTTTCAGCATCGACTGAGACGAATTATCACCCGAAAAGAGGAAAGAAAACGAATATCTCGCAATTTTCTCCACATACTTTAACCAGACCATTCTGTTAAAATGCTTGTTCCTCCTACTCTCGAACCTCAAGATCATACGTGAACTGTTCAAAAAATAAGGTGAATGTACATTCGATTCGCGTTTTTCTTACATTCCTTTATATTGGTATACTCATCTCGAACATATGTTCACAGTTTCAGCTGTTTAGCATGTTCTGTTTGTTGGTGAGAGGCAAAAGTGTTTTGCGTGTTCGGCAATTTTCTGCCGTCGAAAAATTTGTTTTATAAAAAATGAAAATGAGTGCTCAAAAAACACTTGAAATGTTGACAGTGACATACGATGATTGAACTCTGAGTCAGAAAAATTGTTACAAGATGTACAAGCTTTAAGATGTGAATGACGACGCTCGCCTTGGACGCCCCAGCACATCAACAACCGATGAAAACGTCCGGTATCGTGGAAAAGCAATCCATGACTTTTGCATCATGATAATGCAATTGCTCACTCGTCGTTGTTGTTAGCAATTTTTTTGCCAAAAACACCGTAATCATGTGTCAGCCACCGTACTCACCAGATTTGGCCCTCTACGAGAGAGAGAGAGAGTTCAAACCAAAACCAAAAAGTGCATATCAGAACTGCTTCGAAGATTGGAAAAAACGCTGGCACAAGTGTATTATAATAGCCAAGGGGGACTTCTTTGAAGAGGACAAAATGGAAATTGATGATTAAATGAATGTTTTTTGAGAGAAATTTAAATTCACCTTATCTTTTTAACAGACAGCGTATACCTACTTCGGCAGAAATCATGGCAAGATAAAATCAGAAGGCTGTCATTCTTAGCTCATTAGTTATTGATGCCAGCGCGCCCTTTCGTAGTCTCGGTACAATCCTTTTGACGCAAATAAATGATAATAGGTCTTTATTTTGAGACTACATGAATGTCAACTACAAATAGAAAAAATACATACCTGAGAGAAGTCGCCGAAGATCATATTATGGATCATATGCGCCGGTTGGTCACAATGATATCTCCCTACACCTTGAGGAACGTGATCATGGACTCTGAGAATAACGCAGATGCATTGAGCCAAGAATGACAGCCTCTGTATTTGCCAAGCTGAGAATTCTGTCTTAGGACGGTAAACCGGTACGATGTTGAGGTTCAAGAGTATGAAGGGCATCATTTCACCAAGGACTTCAATAATCAGAACAAAAATTTAATCTACTGGCTTGGAATAGAAAACCGCCATTTTCCTTTTTTCCGAGTGATCTTCGTCTCTGTCGGAGCTAAAAACCCCACTACGAATATCGTCTTAATTTTATGGTAGAGAAGGACTTATTAGCTTAATTCACCTAATTTTTTTATTAAAGAGGTTGCGCTGGTCGGGTCTGACCTGAGCAGATGCAATGAGCCTAGAATGAGAGCCATTTGAATTTACCCGACCAAGATTTCTGCAGTAGTGCGGCAAGCCGGTACGATCTTATCGGGTAAAGAAGGCATCATTCGATCAAGGACGCCAACAATCAGAACAACAATTCTAGAGAGGGTAGAGTCTGCGAAGTTTGAATGAATCATCTAGATATTTCATTCGTCTTCTTTCTTCTCTGTAGACTATATTCGTCTCACCCGAAGCTGAAAACTCCACGACGAATATTGTATCATCATTAATATATCATCTCCAGGATCTCTCCCAGTCCCATGATGTTTTTTCTTAGATAGATGATTTTTGTATTGTAATAATTTAAAGAATTAACTGTCTTAAACAAATTCATTTCCAACAATATTTCACTAATCGTAAACTAATTTATATTCAACACTTAGCAACAAACGCTTAATTTATCTCCACTATTTGAATTCCTTGTTTCACTGCTCGATTCGCTTTCTGAACTCAACTGCCCTCTTGGGACGAGATGCCGGCCTTATATATCGGCAACGATAGTTCTAGAATTCCGTAGTCGTTTTGGTACTCAATTAGAGTTTATGCGGTGATGTCATGTGTTTGTTCGCTGGCCAACAGATTCATTACATTGCCACCTTCTTAAAGACGTTTCGCTTCGAAATGTCATCCTTGGCGTGTGTCGATACCTGCAGGACTCCCCATATCTGCACTGTGAAGTTCGATGGAAGTAACACTGCACAGTCTTCATGCTCGGTAATGAAAGATGGTTACCGCACACCAAAATCTTGATGCCGCTGGATCTGAAGATCGTTTCCAACATGTTTCTCACAATTCTCTAATACAGTCTGTCGAGCTCAGAGGCTCATTTCGGGATTGCCAAGTCCACAAGATTCTGAGCATCGTGCCCCTCAGTCTGGTAAGAAACCTCCAGACATCTTGATTGGACGGTTTGTCTCGGGAATACCTTTTGGTCACCAAGTAGAAAAAGTTTTTCTGACCCTTCTTCAACTGTAGCACTCCTCCAACTTCAGAATTCTGTTCTTGTAATGTTTGGAGCTGACCGAATTTCATGTTGAATACCACAGCTATTCCCCTAGACATTTGGAGATTCTCTGCCCAGCATTGAGCTAGTGCGTAATCAACTGGAACCTTGAAAAGGTCTCGTGGCTCTTCTTGAGTTACCCCATGTACGATCTTATGTCCGTTCGAGTATAAAGACATGAACTTCTGAAACGTCATTTCATCCTCTGGTGGTCTGAGGGCGCGAACTTGGTCGTGATTTCCAGCATAAGGAGCCAATCTATTAAAATGTACGACCCTAGGCTTTCTTCGAGATGGCTTATGGATTCGGTAGACGAGGTCATTTATCTTCTTCATGATTTTGTACGGACCTTCACACGAGTTTCGCAACTTCGGTGATGAACCACGACGTCGCTTAGGGTTGTACAGCCAAACTAAGTCACCGGTTTCAAATCCTTCAGCATTCGCCTTGATGTCATAGGCCTTCTTCATCCTATCGCTGGCATGTTCAGATGGACTCGTTCATGGATGTCGTACATTCACTGTGGAAGCTTGCTGACATAGTCTTCCCCGCAGTATCTTGTTCTGGCGGAGTCCCAAATTTCAGATAGCAAAGAAGATGAACCCCTCTGCCCATTATAATACTGGCAGGGGTTTGGCCGGTTGACTCGTGCACTTCCGAAATATAGGCCAACAGGAACAGGTGGAGGTACTGGTCCCAGTCTCTTTGATGGTCAGAGACTACCTTGGACAAGTGGCGGTTTATGGTGTTATTAATTTGTTTCACCATTCCATCGGACTGTGGATGTAAAGCTGTGGTTCTGGTCTTTCGAATGTCCAACAGCTTACACATTTCTTGGAACAGGTTGGACTCGAAATTTCTGCCCTGGTCCGAATGCAGCTCCAATGGGACACCGAATCGACATATACATTTCTTTACTAGGATGTCAGCGACGGTAAAGGCTTCCTGGTTGGGCAGGGCATAAGCTTCTGCCCACGTTATACTGGCGTATTGGAGCTTTCGGTCGTATCCGAGGTCCGTTACTGGCAGAAAATACAGCACACTTTCTGCACCAGTCCTTGACGTCGACTTGACAATCAACCCAGTGAAACCGTTGTCTTACTTTCTGGAGGGTCTTCGTTACTCCCAGATGTCCTCCAGTGACTCCATCATGGATTTCTTTGAGCACCTCCCGTCGTCTGTTCCTGGGTATCACTGTCTGGCGCCTTTCTTCTCTACCGTCTTCAGACTCCAACACCCGCTTCAGAACCCCGTTTTCCAAGGCAAGGGAGTTCCAATGGCCCCAGTAGGACTTAACCGCTGGCGAATAACCTGCAACCTCCTGCCACGATAGTCTTTGATTACTTTTCTTCCATCCGGTGACTAAACGAAGATCTGGGTTTTCCTTGATCTTATTGTCCTCCCAGTTGTCGTCTACAGCTGTAGTTCTGTAAATAGCTGCTTCCTTCTCTTCTGCTCGTCGACAATGTGAGGAGTCATCGGGGCATGGTCTCCGTGACAGGGCATCTGCGTTTTTATGGCTAGTCCCGACTCGATGATCTATTTCGAAGTCAAATTCTTGAAGTCTCTCAATCCAGCGCACTACTTGAACCTCGGGATTTTTGAACTGCAGAAGCCATTTGAGAGCTGCATGTTCTGTTCTCAATAGAAATCTTCTTCCATACACGTATTTGTAGAAATGCTCTAAACCTTTGACAACGGCCAACAGCTCTGCCTGGTGACACAATACTTGCGCTCTGGTTTACTGAGCGTTTTGCTGAATTAGCCAATAACCTTCTCCTGTCCATCCTGGATCTGAGAAAGGACTGCTCCAAGTCCCACGTGTCCGTATCTAAAATGAACTTTCCGTCCAGTAAGGGATAGCTCAAAACAGGAGCGTTGATCAAAGCTCTTTTGAACTTCTTGAATGAGTCTTGGCATTCCTCAGACCACTGGAACTGGATCTGCCCTTCTGTGAGTCGGGTCAATGGTTTGGCGATGTTGGCAAACCCCAGCACATATCTGCGGTAGTAGGTGCATAAACCAAGGAAGCTCCGAAGCTGATGTATGTCTTTTGGAATGGGCCAATCTTTAATTGCTTTGATCTTTTGTTCATCCACTGTCACTCCTTCCCCAGAGACCACGTGGCCAAGGTAACGGACTTCTTTCTGGAACAGATGGCATTTCTTGGGACTAAGTTTCAATCCAGAACTCCTCAGACGCATGAATACCTCCTTCAGATTCTTTAAGTAATCGTCGAACGATTTTCCGACCACGATGATATCGTCGAGATACACTAGACACGTCTTACATGAGAGCCCTTTGAGAACCGTCTGCCACAATCCTGAGCCGATGGTGAAAGCTGTCTTTTCTCGATCTTCTGGGGCCAATTCAACTTGCCAATATCCACTCTTTAAATCCAAAGTCGAGAACATTGTGGAGTCGTCTAGCGTGTCTAGGGTGTCGTCAATTCTTGGAAGAGGGTATCCGTCTTTCTTCGTCACGTTATTTAGTTGGCGATAATCCACGCAGAACCTTGTCGAGTCGTCCTTCTTCTTCACTAATATGACTGGGGAAGACCAGGGGCTGTCAGAAGGTTCGATGACTCCTTCTTTTCCCATATCGCTATCTTGTCTGCCTCTTCTTTCTTGACAAGAGGGAGTCTTCCAGCTGATTGCCGGATCGGTCGGGCATTCCCAGTGTCGATTCAGTGCTGAACCACATTCATTCTGCCGCCTTTCCTTCTCCAATATCGAAGATTTCCTGGTAGTTCTTGAATAACTCCCTCAATTTTAATCGGTGAGTTGGTGGCATGTCCTTGGAGGAAATGTCAATCAACTTCTCCAACTCTTTAGGCAAGTGGTTGGCTTGGCTAATCGATTACATAAATATTACATAATTATTATGAAACTTACCTCATCCAAACAAAAAATATATTTCACCAATGATTCGTTTTGATCAAATTACTTTATTTATGCAGGTGATGAGCCCAAACAGGGCTACGCAACGATTATATGGTTTCACCCTGGAAACTTCAACATAGGCACGCCTGCCATGTGGAACCCTCACACCCTGGTGTACCGCCAAAGGGTGATAATAGTAACAGTAGGCTGGAGACTAAACATAATGGGCTTTTTCACAACCATGGACGGAGAAGCTCCGGGAAACTACGGGTTGATGGACCAACAAGCAGCCATGCAATGGGTAAAAAGAAATATAAAACTGTTCGGGGGAAATCCAGATAATATTTGCATTATGGGTTATGGGTCTGGAGCCACCAGCGTTATGTTGCATATGGTCAGTCCTGGATCGAGGGGACTTTTCAACAAAGCTATTGCGATGAGTGGTGAGTTTGCATCTGTATAAAAGTTTTAATAACATACGGCCTTTCTTTCTACAATATTTTCCAAATATTTACCACAAAGAAAAGTATTTGATATAGTATGGTGACTTGGAAATTTCCTGATAGGGTTTACCATATTATATAACTTACCTATCAGTACATTTTTCCTGTTTCACATCAGTCATGAATATGAAATCTTACTTTCCACAATTATTTGTACATTTGTACGCTTTCCACAACCTACTTATCCAATTCATTTATTATTACATAAAAAATGTCATTAAATAAAAAAAATAACTGCTTTGGAGACAAATTATAATTTCCCATTGAATTATTTGAAAGAGGTGAAAAAGTCTTATCACGTTTGTCAGTTAACAGTAACATTTACTTTTCAGTATTGATATAATAAATAATACATAAAAAAAATCAAAAATCAGTAATCTTTAACCAAGGCATACACCTGTGCACCAATAAATTATTATTCACGAATACTAATTCTGCTCCGCATTTGTAACAGATATGGATCTGTTCACAGGTGTCTGCTTCGGTGCAGTCTAGAATCATATATTCAGGATAATAGTCGTTTTCCGCCGAGTATTTCCCAAGAAGAGTATCTATTTGCTGCTGAACAGAAAACCTACAAAAGATGGATCCATGAAAAATAAGTTTTTATACTTTGTATTACTCTTGTAAATGTCTACCCATGAAAAAGAAGTATTCTGGTAAAAGTTGAACTGATGCAAACGATTCCAATATTGACCTTGAGATACTCCTCTGGCTTTTATGGTTCTTAGGTTGATATTTGTCTATGCATGTTATGCTAAAGTATTCGAAATAACCAGAAACAAAAAAATACAAATATTTTCATCAATAATGATTTCACTGCCTTTCAATATACATTAAATGTTCTTTGTTTAAAGTGGGAATAGACTTGAAATCTGCAGCAAGTTAACAAGATTTGGAAATGATATAAAAAATCTATTCATATTTAGATTCTTTGATTTCACATCTGTTCATCCTTTTAGACAATGGATATCCGAACCTTTAACATATAACAAGAAACATTGTCAACCATATTTGTTTAATTTCATTTTTTGTTTCTGTCTTTTATGAAGATATTTCAGAAGCACTTTGACTACTGTTGGTATCGGAGACTAATTTTTCTCTTTGTGAGGTTGTTTATGTATCTTGTCTGTGGCGACTTACTGTTCTCAAAAATTCATCACTGAAATGCTTCATATCAAGTCTGATTATGGAACTGCCAAAATTATTTTCATGTTTTTTAATGTTGATCGCTTCTCTACTAATTTCTGGTGAAAAGCTGATGTGACTGGCATAACTTGTTCATCTTCAAAATTCAACCAGTGATCATCTTTTTTCAGAGCGTTTTCAAACATTTCTTTCTGAAGCCAGAAATTTGCCTTTTTGCTAATCAATATTTTCGCGATTATGATATACACACTTCCATAAATATAGGGTTTGCAAAATATGCACAGGCTAGATAATGAATCTCTTTTCGAGATTTATTTTGAGTGAAAGTTTCTCAATGTTTTACATCTTCACAAGTTCTGTCATTTCTAAGAGTGTGCTTAGCCACAGCAGACTTCTCTGTACGTCCTAGCCAGGACGTGATTATGATGTACACACATCCTAAAGTATAAGGTAATCATATATATGTTCTGGTTAGATAATGTATCTCTTTTCAGAACTCTTCTGCTCTTCTTTTGTGTATGTCCTGGTTTTTGACGTCTTACGATGAGTTATGAGTAGAGATAACTTTACAAATTTTTGAATTAGAAATATTTTCATTTGTTTTATAGTTTTGACAGCTTTCCTGCACAATTTCGGCTCATGAATAAATCTTCAGTATCTTTGAGTTTGTTTTAGTTTTGTCTTTTTACCACATCGATCTTTGTATGATTTTTATGTGTATAGTGGTACGCAATACATACCCTGGCTAGGGACTTCTTTTATTCCCAAACAATTCGATAGTTTTTCTGATATTTCCGTTTTTTTTTCAACATAATCCAAACTTTTGTTTAGAATCCAAGTTGACATCTCACTCAGTTTCAATGTGGTTTATCTTTAAATACTACATTCCTCTTGTTAAAAGCCAGAAATAGTTACGATGGAAATCCTTTCATTCCAGTGATAGCTAAATTCTAAACAGCATCATTGTAGCCCAAGGAATGCTTTTATTACATAAAACAATATTATTATATATACAATATATAAGTGATAATGATTATTATAACAAATTTTCTTTATTATCATAACTTCAAACTTGTTGACAAAGCTGGGCAATTAAATATACAATTTCAAAAGAAAAATTAAAAAACATTGAATAAAAAACTACTCAAACTAAATTACTAAAAATGATTCCAATTGATATAAAAATTTAAACAACGTAAACTATTGTTAAAATGCAATATATTGAATAAAGCTACAATCAATTATTGAAAAATTGCTGTGAATTACTAGAGCCACAGACGTAAGAATCTACAAAATTCCATGTCATTTATAAGTAGTATGATATGAAAGAGATCACAGACTTGGGGGTGAAATAACAAAAACAGACATTTCTGGGCATACCGGTCACCCAGAAGAATAAAAATTAAATATCTACAGCATATCATAAAACAACATATACAGAAAAAGCAAAGAGATAATTTGGATTGCGGTCGCCTATGGCGACCTGTTGTATATCGGTTTTTCAAATGCTTTGGATCTGCATTGTTCAGCTCTCAAAATGAAAGTCTAAAATAGTTCGACGACATGAAAATATTTGCAATTAACACAGTGATAATGTTCAATGACAAGTTCATCAAACTCAACACACAATTCATGGGTTCGATATCAATTGATGCTAGACATTTGTGAGCCATATTATTCAAGTTTCTGATAGTAATCAACGAATTCTGCACATAGATGATATTTGAACCCTAAGGTTAACATTCCAAATACACCGTTGAAAACCCTTTCAAATGAAAGGGAAAATGACCAAAAACTGATGAGAAATTGTATTGTGACTTCAATATGTTTTTTCTTGATTTTTTTGGGAGATCCATTTTACAAATTTTTGTAGAACAACACACTGAAGATACAGTTTACAAAACCGCAACACGTTTCACTATATGTATAATAGCTTCTTCAGGCCTGTTGATACTAACTGATTCTACCTATTTTGTTCTTTATATAACTAATAATTTGAATTACAATAACTTTCTCTACCTTCTTGATGACTAATAATTTTTCCTGTATTCACATAAAAACAAATTACTAATTCAAACATTAGGAAAGAAATTTAACACTCATTAGAATAGACATGTAATAAAATGAAGGTACATGATTTTACATATCAACTACTTGACTAGTGATTTTCAAACATTCCATAAGAATGAGATTCAAACAATTCTCTCCCAAATGTAACACGTCATAGTCTTTCAGCTCCTTGCTAATTGCCTACCAGTAAAAAAGGTTAAGATGTATTCTATGGATTTTATCCTCTAGGTTATTTATGAAAATTCCACAACTATGCAACTCAGTTCTTTCTGAAAATTACTTTCTGATAGAGTGTAATATTCTGTGAAGCATACTATTGAGTGCTGATAGGGATGTGTCAAGTAGCTATGCATGACATATAGATGGTTTGTGAGAAATTGTAAAATCATGTTTAAGTCAAGTCTATAAAATAAAGTAATAAAATATTTATTGCCCACGAGATCCGTCCTCTACCGTTCACTGCAAGGCAACTAGTTAAAGACTAGAGTCCAAACTCAATGTATTTATGATTCACAACAGACAGCGCTGTTTCAAACCGCCATAGTCTCATCAGTCAATGTCGAATCTTAGCTTTGCAACTGATCACCTTGATTCCATAAACTACACCTTACGTTTTGATCTCCACAAACTGTATTTTAAAAAAATATCACTTAAAAAACAGATATTTTTGTTGATTATGGCACAACGAAGAATTAACTTAAGGTACCACAAGACCAAGAAACTAGTCGTAGCTGCCTTTAATTTTCTGATTGATTCGCCCGTTACTTGATGTTACTGTTTGAGTTCCTTGTCAATCTTATAGATGGCATCTTATGGCGATTTCGTGAGGGAAGATGCTTTGGCTTTTACTTACTCAGGCTTGTCCTTCAAGGATAGTATAGCCCAGCAAAGTATTTATGGTTCAGCCTAGCACCAATGATGAGACTGTAGGGGGTCGAAACAATGCTGTATCATAAATGCTTATGTTTGGGTTCTGGTTTTCAACTAGTTGTCTCACAGTGAAAGACAGAGGACGAATCTCTCCAGCGGTCGATGTCGAAAATGGCGGAAACTGATGTACAGTTGGTAGAAGCTGGCTCTCTTATCAGTGATTCAAATTTTAAAGAAAAGCAGTTTAAGTGCTGCCAATCAAAAACTACAAAAAATCTAGTGTGTATAGAATGTGGTGACATTTTTCACATATCCTGTGCTGTAAAAAACAAGCTAAAGTGCTTACGAGTTTGTGATTCCAGAATTATATGCTGTAAGTCCCAAAATTCAGAAGGTAAAAAGACTGATTTGAAGGCAGAGAATGAATTCCTAAAAAGATTACTTCTGGAAAAAGATGAAAAATACAATATTCTACTGGAAAATAATAGACTTCTGAAAAGAAATACTGTGTTACTTGAAGAAAAACTAAGTGGATATGTAGATATAAATGAATCATCTAAAAAAAAAACAACATAAATACTAACAAAAAACCTTTCAACCAAGTTCTGAAAGAACCTCAAAAAAAGTCAACACCTACGACTGATTCTACGGCCGGCACAGCATTGCCAGACTTCTCAAAAAAAATGGGAAAACCAGATGACAACAATATCACAGGGTTGCCTGGACCTTCAAAAGATAAGAAGACAATGGATCAAATGAAAAATTTTGAAGAAATGAAAGATACACAGCTCAACAAGATGAATGATTTAATTTATATTGAGAAACAAACAGAAAAAGAAGATGAGAAGATGATTTTGGTTTTACAAACGTTACATACAAAAAAAAAGAAATCAGTCCCCAAAAATGTTGGTGAAAATGACACCCAAACTTATTTTGGAGTAAAGAGTAAAGCATGGCTTTATCTATATAGAGTGAATCGCCATATTACACCAGAGAGAATACTAAAATACATTAAAGATCAAGAAATATTTAAGAATGCAGATGTGCTAATCAAGGAGCTTCCAACTGAAAACAATCAACATAAGTGTTTCATGTTTGGAATTGACTATGAACTCAAGGATGAAATATACAAACCCTCCACATGGTCAAGATCAATGGCATATAGAAGATTTAACTTCCAAATTTACCACAACTATCAAAGGAATAATAAGGATTTTTAGATAGTTGCATCAAAACAACAACTCAAGTAAAATAAATCGCATGCAATCAGAAACACCAAGAAGACAACTTAATGGAAAAAGGATTAACTCTGAAGAATCATTAGTCGTTATTTAACATTGAAGCTTTTGGAATTTTTATTATTTTATCTTTACAATTTTATTATTTTATCTTCACATCAACTATATGAGGAATTTATACAACACATTTAACATTGTCAGCTTTTAGATTTTATCTTTATAATTTTATTATTGAATTAACTATATTCAACTGTTTTGACTAGTTTGATAAAATTTTATATATTATGTGTGTAATGTTTTTAATGACGAATAAATTCTATTCTATTGGCTTTGCAACTAACTACCTTGGGGAGTCTTTTTCATCTTTAATATTCGAGGATTGAGTTCTCTGTCGGTCCCATAGATGGCGTCTTCGTAATGAGAGATTCCATCGCCTTTCCTTACTCAGGTTTGTCCTTCAAGATCAGTTCAGTCCAGAATGCATTTGTGGTTCAGCCCAGAACCACTGATAGACCTTTGGCGGGTCGAAACAGCACTGTCTGTTGTTGGATCATAAATATTTTATGTTTGCACTTTGGTTTTCAACAAGTTGCCTGGCAGTGAAAGAGAAAGGACGAATCTTGATGGCGGTCAATGTCGAAGTTTATAGTTCTGCAACTGATTGCCTCGCTAATCTTTGATGTTAGACTATTGAGTTCGCTATTTGCAGAGGAAAATGAAATCAATCACGAAAAGTGTTACATTTGGAAAAAAAGATTTGAAACTCAATCATTTAGAATGTATGGGAATCAATGGATTCAAGAATAAGGAACATATACTGAATGACAAAATAGAATTGAATACTTCCTCTTGGTTTAAGTTGTTTTCTGATGAGATTTGTAATTAGAAATGTGAACTACGGATTTTTAACATATTACATGTGTTTTTAAAATAGTTTTTAACATTTGTTTACTAATTAGTAATTAGTTAATATGTGAACTGTATATGAGATACTAAATAGGTAGAATTTAGTATGAACCTCCCGAAGAAGCTACTGCACAGTGAAACAGGTATTGAGGTTTTGTAAATTGTTTAGTGAAAATCTCATAAAAGTGTTACTTGAATACGTCATGATGATTTTTCATGAAATATCGACCAATTCCATCACATACATTAAACAATTATGTTTAATGTATGTGGTATCTATTTGCAAGTGTATTCTGTTCTCCGGAGCATGAAAGGTATAATCAAACTCCTAAAATTTTAAGATATTTAATGTTGACCGAAAAAATTTTTGAAGTAAGCAGAGGTCGAAGATGAATCTTCATTTTTCAGGTGATTGAACATTTAGTAGTGGCAATATTTTGACATGAATATTGCCAGAACAAGCCCTTTTTTAAATGCTACATTATCTTGGAAATTTATTCTGAATCATTTCAATATTCTCGATCTAACACAAATAATATGGCGTCTAAACTGTGGGGATATATACAAGAAGAGGTCTAACCAGGGAGCAGAAGAGAAGTTTGTCCATCATCTTTAGATCAAGATGTTATTTGATATGAGGATGATTTCTTATTGAATGTAATATCAAGATCATATATTTCATCTACTTGTCATCGATATGAAAAGTGAAGCCGATAGTTGATGAGTTCCGAAAAAGTAATCTTATATCATTTTCATATATTTAGCATAGGAGCGTTTTGATACACCAACAGTGGCATCTTCAAGAGTAGAAATTATTTTGAATATCTTCAGGTCTCATTCAGATAACAAGAAAGAAGTATTTTCCAAAGACATATTTAATGTTATTGATAAATAAATAGAAGTGGCAGCGTCAAGAGAAGATCCTGAGGAAATTTACATGTGATCTAACTATTTTGGAAATCAAACTACCGCTTTTGACACTTTGAGTACGGTTTGGCAAATAGCTATGAATTATTTCAAAACAATTTCAGTGATACCATAATCTTGGAGTTTAGCAAACATGATCAACCTTATAAAATGTTATAGTATAATCTGTGAGTATGTTCTATAAAGCGTTAGTGATTAATTTTTATAAATTGATCTCTTGGTTAATTTTGATGTTTTCTGGGTGAATTCATGCTTTTTACCAATGTTCACCAAATTCCTATGCTGATGATTTTGTAACTGAACAACTAATAAGTTATGGAATTTCTGATAGGACGTTTGTACTTAATCAGTTGTTTAATTTTGCCTATTACTCTTTCAATTTTTTTATAAACTTCAGATTATTTTTTGCAGGAAAGAGCTACCTATCCCCATCTTCAGTAAAAAAGGCTTCGGAAGACAAAGAATTAGTAGATAGACTAGCAACTACCTTTGCCTGCGACCGCAGACCTACTTCAAAACTACTAGAGTGTCTGAGAAACGCCGAGGCAGAAACACTAGTACAGGAATCCTCCTACATCAACTGGAGACCTCTGCTAGATGCAGAGTTGACCAACAGAACGATTCCATTCCTACCAGAGCTTCCAATAAAGTATTTTGAAAGAGAGGATTACAAGAAAGTACCCTTACTGACTGGCTACACCCATATGGAGCAAGTGCTGGAACTAGACAGTTTGATAAACCTAACAACGACTTCAACAGAATACCTTAAAAGTCTATTAACAGAACAAATAAGTGGCGATATTCCACCTGTAAATAATACCGAGTCTTCCTGTAATTACAATCTTGACCATATCACCGATGCTGTAATGTTCTTCTATGGCCCTACACGTCCCATCAAGGATGTGGAAACATTCAGGAATATCTTGATAAACTTTGTTACCGAAAGAAATTTTGCTGCTTCTACTTTCCTGCTGGCGTCTTATATGAGCAAAGCACAACCCACCTATGTATACAGGTTTGACATAAAGCCCAGTACCCCCGCAGCTGTGAGCTACTTGCCCGATTGGGTGAGCGTGCCCCACTTGTTCGACCTTATATATGTCTGGGGGGTGCCTTATTGGACTACAGGTCAGGAGTGGGATATTCGAGACAAGCGGATAGCGGATACGATAATGTCATTTTGGACAAATTTTGCCAAGTCGTCCAATCCTACCAAAAACAGTATTTATCCTGTCATGTGGGACAGATTCAGCGAAGATGAACCGGGAGTACTTATAATCGATAGTACTTTCAATATGAGTAACTCGAACAATTTGAACTACAAAGCTTTCGAGTTTTGGAACAACTACTACCCGAAAGTAAGAGCAGTTGCCACTCAGTGTTGTGAGCCCCCAGACAGTGCGACTGGAAAAATATTCGAGAATTTATTATTGATAGCTTCAATTCAAAGTGCACTTCTATATATTGTAGTTTTCAATTAGACGGAGGTTATAGAGGTTTAACAAAATTACCTGAATGTATTTTATTATACCCATGCCTGTATTTACATAATATTTGCAATAAATACTAATGATGAGGAACAGATGTTATTTGCTAAAGAAAAATAGTTTATATCAAGAGATCCAGGAACCAACCCAGGCTCAACAAATGCTGCTCATAAGTTGTAAACAAGATCAATTTGAACAAACAGATGAGATCTAATCCAATATTCTACACAAGGGTTCAATTCTTTCAGGTTTTTTGTGAGTAGATTTTATTGTCCAGCTCTTATCCACCCCTCAAAGGATGGTGTAAAAATTGAAACACTCCCCAAGTAATGTAATCTGAGCAAAATTGATGACTTCAACAGACGAATGAAGATGATTATTATTTTCTTAATAATTGTGTCTACACCTTTTGTATTTGTCCTTTTTTGCGACCTGATTGTATCTATACTTTTATGTTACCTCAAACTCTGTCAATAAGGTAAATCTTCAAAATATATTTTGATTTGGTTATACCAATGTACATTCAGTTTCTTTTTGAACTGCCCATGTCTGGGTGGGTTCAATAAATTTGGGGACCTTTTTCTATACTGAGGAATATAGGTTGTTTTTTATAGAATTTGTAGGTGTGATAAAAGAATGAGAAACGGTGTTCATTATCGTGAAGCCGACACAAAAGCAAGGCTCTAGCTAAGAACCGTCTGAGACCTACTTAGTTCAACGTTTTTACCTTATTATCATGAAATATTGGTAGAGAATTCCATATCGAGTGTTTTAAGGTTTTTTGGGCAAGAATAATAAGATTGCCCTGGAAAGATTAACGTCAAGTACTGTCCAGCCTCTTGATGCCATTTTTTTAGTAGAAAAAACGCATACCCAAACACGTTTATCTGATAGCTTTGGTTATACCTCGGGAAAGCCAGTTCTCCAGAACCAATTTATCAGATAATTAGAGATATTCTTCAGGAAAGCTATAGTTTCACTACCCACGTCGATCTTTTAGATCTGAGAAGGCATTTTGGAAAGTATCGACGTAGAACTATAACAAGTGTTCAAAACAAAAAATAGAAATGATGACACACAGTGAGTAGAAGTCCTGTTACTGGTGACTTTTTTTTGGAGTGATCCGTTTATTGAAACCTACATTTCTCCCACTGAAGAGTGAAACATAATTTTAGTATTTACCTTTTTATTGTGCATCTAAGACGGCTGTCGAAGGGGGTAATGATTATTGAATTTATTTCAGGTTGACGAAAATGTAGGTGATGGATAAAAGTTATTTTTCATGACTTACTTCGTTCCATAACTGAATTTGTGTAATGATTTTTGGTCTATGTTTAGTAACCATGTATTTGGAATGGATATATTATTCTGTACCGAAAGTTCCCTCCGTAGTACTGGTGTAATCAAACTGGACGATAGTCATATTTACATTTTTACTCGTAACATTCGTTTTTAGTATTAGATATTTGATCCTTGAATTTGAGGTATATATAATCGTGTACCTTTCCACTTTTGATATTTGCAAATGTGCAGTTTGTAAATATTTCCTGTTAATCATCAATTTGTTATAAATTTCAAGCTTGGAGCCTTGTGCTTTCTTGGCTATTTCTCCACCTCTTTCCTTTTGAATCCATTAGACTGGCACCCCAAGGCTCACTTTTCATCTATTCAAATTGAAAGAAAACGTATTTTCCTTACCCACGCCCAGCCAAAACAAATATCAACTAGCTGAGGTCTAACTACTTTTTGCCAAAAAGGGTTTGGTCACCCCACAAATACTAAGAAAGGCTATAAAAAAAAGAAAGTTGAGACCTCGTTAATACTTTTTCTGATTGTTGCATTCACATGCATTTCAGCCAGGTGTGACAACGCCAAATATGTCCAACCTCTCATAACAAACAATTTTCACCGAGAAGTTCAAAAAAAAAACAGCAACACACGTATTTCAATATGAAATACCTCCCTCATTCTTGTTCATAACTAAATTCAATTGTAAATTAATATCTCACGTCTAAATAAATGAATGAACTAAGTTAGTTGAGTTGTGGTTGTTGCCCAAAATATCGTATTGGCCAAATGGGGAGAACTTTTTCTAAGAAAGAAAGAGAACAGGAGTAGTATTTGGAATGTGAAGGCTAATTCAACATTTGAAAACCATCTTTTGGCAGAGGAGCATGAGTACAATCACGATTATGACATTATTACATTGAGAATAGGAAACATTTATTGAATGACTGAATAAATTCCCATTATTAATCTTGTTTTCTAATGTTGAAATTGATAATTAGTTGATCCATTAACTCAGGTAAGCTCATTTTATTATATTTCCATTTAAATAAGTTTGTTTCTGAAATTCCCTCTCTAATATTTAAATTTATGTTAATTTTATAGCTGGACTCATCAAATTATTAGTCGTTAAGTAGATAGAAAATCATTCTATTCAAACTATAAATTCATATAAAGTATTGATTAGGTATAATTTAGTTGGTATGAACATGCCTGAAGGAGCTATTGTATAGTAAAACTTGTGTCACAGTAAACTGTTGAGTGAAAATTTCACGATGAAGTGTTACTTAAATATATTGTGGAATATCATCACATATCAGCCAATTTCATCACAATCTATATTCGATTATTAATCTTATGAACTCAACACTTTTATTTTCATAACATAACAAGCAACTAAACGAATATCTTCCATATTAGAACTCCTTCAACTCAAAAATCTAATTGAAAATGGAACGACTAACCCAATAAATTTTTGCTTTCTTGGATCTACTAGAGAACAGATGTGAAGATGGGATATCAGTCAGATAGCATATCGTTCAAAAACAACTAATGAAGACATAGACCTGGAGTAAAAAACAAAGTGAAATTCAATTTCTATACTAAGACGGTTCACTCCGTCTGAAATGATCCTCCCGGTACTGACAAGGAGCTAGTACTCCAAAACCGGTGTGTCGGTAGTCGTCCCAACCAAATGAAATTAATTTCAGCTTTTCATATATAGAAAGTTGCGACTAATCTTCCAAATGAAAGACGTTGCACAGGTGCCTGATGGTTCAACTTCAGCTTTCTGAGCAACATTAGCTGAATTAGCTATTATTTTTCCATCGGGTATCTGCCACATGTACCTACAAAGTCATGAAGGTCAAGTGTTCTCATCTAAACTTGCATATATATATACACGCACGCGTGCGCACACACACACACACACACACACACACGCACACACACTTTTATATTGGTGGTGAATTAATTGCAAGTAGAAATACAACCTACTAACGTTTATGAAGAAATCGATAAAAATAATTGCAAAAGTAATTTCATATAAATACTACTACATATATGCTGAAACCGCTAACTCATCCATTAGTGTTCTTTAAAAGTGTATTTTATTCAATGCTTCCCCTTTACTATTAAAATACGAAATAAAACGGAATTAACTTACAAGAGGCATAAGCATATCACACCATGGCAAAAATTTCGTCACAACTAAAAAACATTAATTTGATAGAATAGTGAGACTAAAGATACCAACCCAGAAAGGGCAATTATAGCATGAAACTTTTTATTGATTATTTCTCTCGACTCATAAAAATTATGAAACAGTTGAACAGTTTTACGGTGATTAAATGCAATAGACTTGTTTAACCAATTGAAATGATCATAAATCTGTGTTCCTACTACAAATAACATTTGGATTCAAAAACTATTGTTCCCTATTTCGGGAATTATTCTCAACATATCCCTCGTACAGCAAAATCAATTGATCAAAATGCGTACAATCAAATAATTTTTATAAATTTGCTTTCAAGCAAATGCTTTTATATATAATAATTTAAAACAAAATCCCCCGATGGAACTGGTCGATAATTGATGAAAATCCATAACATATTCAAGTAACACTTTATTGTGAGATGAACATGCCTGGAGAATATATTGTATTGTGTGTTGTGGTTCTTTTAAATGTTCGGTGAAAAGCTCACAATGAAGTGTTATTTGTATATACTCAAGTCATTTGCTTAGCACTCGGGATATAACCCTTGAGAAATTCATTTACTCATTTATTTTGGGAGTCTCCTGATAAGGCTAACTTGGTTAGCGAAATGTGTATAGAGAGACAGTGGTATAGATCTGATGAGTGGAAAAAGTTTAAATGAAATTATAAAGGAGTTTAAACAATTTTGTGCCTATCATTCTCACTCTTTTTTTATTTGATAGGCAAAATATGAAACCATTATAGAGTAATTGAAGAAGTACATTCGTTACTTATCTATATTTCTCACAAAAGAATTGTATGTTTTTCTAGAATAATGAGTCTCAGTATAAAACTCAGAGCCCAAGATAAGGAGTGTTAGTATGGAAAAATAGGAAACTGTGAGAGATACAATGCCGGTGAATTAGTAAAAATTTGCCCATTTTAGAGCTTCTTCAAATGACTTCAAACATTTCAGAAATTACGTTGTTTCGAAGATATTCAAAAAAAAAATGAGAATCAGCAATTTCGTTTTATTTTTCTCTGAGAAACCATCACCGATTTATTTTAATATATCACCCAAAAAAAAATCAGCCAGTCTTGTCAGCGACAACTTCACTGATGTATCACCATAATCGTTTGATTATTAATATTCAGAACGTAGTTTACATAAGCTCTAAAATGGTCATATTTTTCCTAAATTAACTGACTTTCTGTCTCTTACGGTTTCCGATATTCATATGTTGACCCCCTTTATCTTGGAGACTCCATATATATAAATATTGTTATTCATCACATTTTTATTAAAACAAACAAAGCAAAACAAAAACACTATGGTGGCACAGTAGAACAATATGGAACTACTCCAAAACGCTGTATTAATTGAAGGATGTCTACCTGTGGTAGACAGTAAAAGATGTTAAATTCCGAAATAACTTGAGGGCAATTTAAAAAATATTGAATTCTGAACAATTTTAAATGAGTTAATAACACATTCTTCAGCATAAATACAAAATTAAAAAAAANTATAAATTGGCTTACAAATTCTGACGATTATAATTGAAAATATCCAAATATTTATTCACACACTTATGTATCAAATTGGGCAGTCCACAACGTTAAATTAAGAGAAACATCATTTTATTTTTTCTTTGATACTCATGTCTTGGGTTGCATGAAAAAATTAGTCCGCCATCTTAGGTGGTTCGCCATATTGAATTTACAGTGACGTCATTTCACTTTTCGTTTTCTTTTCGTCAAACCGTTCCATTTGATACCCATATCACGAGGGTACATAAAAAACGAATCCGCCATATTGGATTTAGAGGGACGTCATTTCATGAGCC